CTTCTTCCAATCTCTTGTTCATTAAATTTCTTTCATGAAGTGTGTCTATATCTTCACTCCTCTAATTCTGGTTTCTGTAACCATTTTCCTAGGCCTTTCATATTCCTTAATTTGTGTGCCTATTTTTCTTCCTCATTCGCCAATATCTTTTTTTCTATTACTGCATGCTAGGCATTAAACTCTTGGGCAATCCAATTTGTCTGTCTTGTATGTGTACACTATTGAAGTGTTGTTATTTCCCTCATAGCCAACTGAATATTCTATTTCTTTAATGTTGGTTGTGGTTTTTTTAATTAGTTCGCAGGAAGGTATATCCACTTTTGTGAATCTTTCTCCATTCTTATTTCTCTGTCCTGCAATCGGCTTTTTATGGCCCATAAGTCTCTTTACGTGACCTATCAGATTTTTTTTGATGAGAAGCATCAGAGTAGCTTTCTTTAATTATTAATCCCAGAATTATGTTAATCTCTTTTAATCTTAAACCTCTGATAACCATGCTCGTTATTCCCATATTCAGTCTGTAATTGTGATGGGACTGAAAATTAAGTATTATTCTGGCATTTAACTTCCTTCCTTTTGAATGTACCGTTTGAGCAAATGAAATCCGAGAGGCTCTCCTATCCGTCTAAAGGACTAATTAATTATTGCTTAGTACAGTTTTACATATCCTCGCTAATCTGCTCCTGTTTGTTGACTCCTGATTTGTCAAGCTTCTGGGAATTATTTCCATCCGTTTCCTTTATTGTATCCCCAGTTAACTTGTGCGAGATATTGCTGACCTCCGCAAGGATGTCTTCCCGAAATTTTCTGCAAAATCCTTCCTGTATTCAGTTTAGCGAGACCGCTCTTATTAAAATTGATAGCCTATTTTTTGCCGTCCATATGAGAAGCTTGCTTAAATTATGCTCATTCTGATAGTTTTCTATCTTTTCTCTTTCGACCCGAACTAAATTGATCAACTAATTATTAGTCTTTGTATTTGTTTGTTAAGTCTATTGTAACTAGGCTAGATATTTCTCACAGCTTTTATTTTTTTCCTAAATTTTCGCTCTTTGAAAATCTCACCATTGTACATAAATAAATGTTTTATTTTTTTATTTAACACTCATTAGCCTAGACTGATTATATATTCGAAACTTCTGTTTTTTTTAATATACTACTTTTTTTGTAAATCTATTAGTATTTTATCTACATTCTAGCAGTGCATCTATAGATTAACTTATTACTCTCTTAGCGTATATGCGAGATCCAATTATTTTTAAAGCCTGAGCTTTAATATATACTTATTAGTCCAACACCACTCCGTCAGCCCAATCCATCCACATCACTATCTTCTTGAACAAGCTTTGAGACGTGAATTAATACGACGTTTTACATCTCAAGCTGTTACGTTCTTTATCCAGAACGTTTAAAACGACCCCTCCTCGAACTATGTAACTATATAACTATTCCACCTTCTTTTATGGTGCTATATACATTTTATTCTGACTAATTCTTTTTATTTCAATAGTTTGAGATTCCTGATGGCTTCTTTGGTTATCGCAAGCGTTTCCCTTCTACCTCTGCTAACGCGCCAGATCCACCGTTCTTGTGTCCCCAATCTGCGCTCCAGCCTTCTCAATCTCCCTCTTCGTCTTCAATCGACCCTGTTTCGCCCTATTCCACTTCAGAACCTGCGAGTTTAGTCCCATTATCCCATCCCGTGGACGAACCAATTATACCCTCTGATCCATGCCCAGTCGTTTTCTCTCCATCGTCAGTCTCTACTGACACTGCTACCTGTGTTATCCAGAATCCATTACATTCTATATCAGATTTATCTCTTTCAATAATAGACCCACAGGAGACTAAAGAAGAATCGAGTTTATGCTTCCGGTTTCCATCAGCCCTTACTGAGATAGCGTCAACTGCCGAATCTAAACAACAAGCCAGTTCTATTGATGAAGCCAATTCTCTTCCTCCCATTACCGACCCTGTGTTTGCTCAAGTGAATGCCACTACTTCATGTTCTCCTTCGACGTCTTCAGACGATATCACTAATTCTAACTGTATCGTTACTCCTTTGATTGCCACCAGCGCCAATTCGACAACATCAAGTTCTAGAAGTGTTTCTAAATGTTCTCGAAGAAGCCAAGGCAAGCGAAAGCTGACCAAGTAATATATTATTTAAGTGTTCTGACTTGGGTTGCTTTCTATGCCTCAGGGCAACGGTAGCGATCGTACGACTTGGTTTGTGTATCTAGATCACCGACCCAATGATTCAAGGTTATTCTATCTAAAGTTA